AAAAAGATAATTATTTCAGAGGTATTTCTGATTTGTCATGTGTGTAGCCATGGAAAATTTGAAAAGCATACAAGTCATCTTTTGTTATTCGTGGAAAGTTAGAGGCTTCTTGAGTGGATGAAATATACTTTATAGTTTTTACTTATAGAGTTATTGGTAGTGCTTTTTTCTCCTAAGGGGTGCAAGATATTTAGTTTGTATTTTTTTCTGTTCATATCATGGATAATGATGCATGTGGATATTAAAAAAACAAATATTATTGAGGAATTTAGGTAGATTTACATGTTAGATGTTTTGGAATCTAAAGAAACCTTCCTCTGAATTGGACACACATACTGTTTTCTTTTATCATTTAGTTGACTGACTTTTGTTCCAATTCCTTTTCTGCTCTATGAAATGTATTGTAGATGAGAGCTATAAAAGAGGAGCTTGGCGACAATGATGACGACGAAGATGATGTAGTTGCCTTGGAAAGAAAGATGCAAAGCTCAGGAATGCCTTCAAACATCTGGAAGCATGCACAGAGGGAGTTGAGGTATGATTTGGTTAGTATAAAGGAATAAGGGTTACTGCATTCCAGTGTGCCAGTAAAGTAGTCTCTTCCTTTTGTTTCCCACTAAAAAAGTTGTCATACTATAGATACTAGTATACTAAAACTTTGATGTAATCTTAATATCGAGTAAGATATGATTATGATTCCTCTTACAAAAAAGTGTCTTCCAACAAGGGTTTTGGAGAAAATGGAATGATCTCACAATTATTGGTGCCCGGTATCATATTATCTTGACATCTTTGCGGATGTTGGCATGTTAAAGTTGGTTTGAATTTATTGTTCTTAAGATAGTAAATAAGATATCCCCAAGTGTATAATAGTGCACTTAAAATCTGAAGTCACTTCCAAATATGCAGCTTTACACCATGTCTAGGGCCACTAATTCTTGGGCGTCAGTGGTACTAAGATTAAAGAATTTAGGTTTTGTAAAGTTGGATCTAGATATGGTTGTAAAGCCAAGAGGGTTTACTTGCCTTCATTGTTTTGTTACAGTACAGAGTCTTTTACTTCAAGTTCTAGAGTTTAGTGGGTCTCATATCATTTATTATATTAAAATTTTCTCCTCATGTTTCAGGAGGCTGAAAAAGATGCAACCCCAACAACCTGGATATAATAGTTCACGTGTTTACCTAGACCTTCTTGCTGATCTTCCCTGGCAGAAGGCCAGTGAAGAATATGAATTGGATTTAAGGGCTGCAAAAGAACGTCTTGACAGTGATCACTATGGTTTAACTAAGGTCAAACAGCGGATTATTGAGTATCTGGCTGTTCGCAAGGTGGATGATTGTGTAGTTTTTGTCTGATTATTTGAGTATTTTGTATTTAAAATTTAATGTTCATATGTTAGTTATGTGTTGCAGCTCAAACCAGATGCCAGAGGTCCCGTGTTGTGTTTTGTTGGGCCGCCCGGTGTTGGAAAAACGTCTTTGGCATCATCTATTGCTGCTGCTTTGGGAAGAAAATTTATACGCATATCCCTTGGTGGTGTTAAGGATGAGGCTGATATTCGAGGACACAGGAGGACATACATTGGAAGCATGCCGGGTAGACTCATTGATGGATTAAAGGTATACTTTCATTCAAGTAAACATTTTCATGGACTTATGGTGTGATCAGTCATGACTCATAAATAATGCTATCTCTTAAGTGTATCGAACCATTAAAAAAAAAAAAAGAAGACAAAATAGTCTTTTGTAATTGATAAGTGATATTGCTTGTCTATCTCATTTGTCACTGCCTTTAAACAAACAATTTTCATAATTGAGCAAGCCTCTTTTGTGCTTTCTTTTTGTATGTGGCTTAGTGAACACAACAACAAAAACTATGTATCCGTACCCACCCCCAGCAGAGTATAGGATTGATGTAGTAGGACTTTGCTAAATTTATTCTTAATTATTTTGTATTGCAGAGAGTAGCTGTTTGCAATCCAGTCATGCTGCTAGATGAAATTGACAAGACAGGTTCTGATGTGCGCGGTGATCCAGCTTCAGCTCTACTGGAGGTTCTTGATCCTGAACAAAATAAAACATTCAATGATCAGTATCCTGTTCTTTTTATGCCTTATTTCGGTCAAATTCTTATTTAATTAATCTGAAAACGTCCTCATGTTGTAATTTGTAGTGATTTTGGGTTTGATCTATATGCATATCTTACGCCTAACTCTTGCAGAAAATCTTCTTTTACATAAAACGAAGATATAGTTGCTATCAAAATGGTCCATGATATGATTGCTTGGCTTAATGTCACTTGGTTGCTTAGTTTTAATGGGATTTTTTTTTTTCTTTTAGAAAAGTAAGGACGCTGATTTTCCTAGATCCATTTCAAATACCATTGCAAGCATGATTTCTACGTGAAAGTGGTTCCTTAATTCAAGACCTATAGCTATTTGAATGTTCCCTTCGACCTTTCAAAGGTGATTTTTGTGGCAACTGCAAATAGGGTGCAGCCTATTCCGCCGCCACTCTTGGACAGGATGGAAGTTATTGAGTTGCCTGGATATACACCTGAAGAAAAACTGGAGATAGCCATGCACCATTTAATTCCCCGAGTTCTTGATCAGCATGGTTTGAATTCTGAGTTTCTTAGAATCCCAGAGGTAAGTTCATTCTGGTCTTGTATCAAGTAGTAATAGCGTTGAACTTGTGGTTTCTCCACAGTTTCTTCTTTAGATCTAAAAATACTAAAATAGGCACCCTCTTTCTGGCTTCCAGTATCAAATTTTATGTCACAACTCACAAAACAACGGTTACATTCATGACCAATGTTGGTGTATATGAGAATGTCACATTGAGAGTCGTCTGCCTACTGTGGCAGGCCATGGTGAAACTTGTCATTCAAGGGTACACTAGAGAGGCTGGTGTTCGGAATCTGGAGAGAAACTTGGCTGCCCTGTCTCGTGCAGCTGCAGTAAGAGTTGCAGAGCAAGAACAAGCTGTCTCTCTGAGCAAAGATGTGCAATCGCTTGCTTCACCACTACTCGAAAACAGACTTGCTGATGGAGCTGAAGTGGAAATGGAGGTTATTCCGATGGGTGTGAATAATCATGAGATATCAAGCACTTTCAAGATTGCTTCGCCATTGACTGTGGATGAGGATATGCTGGAGAAAGTATTAGGGGTAATCATTCTCTTTTTAAAATCATTAAAAAAAAAAAAAAATTGCTTCATAATTGGACTTAGCAGTGTTTCCTTGGAATTTAGAAACTCGATTAGTTTGACTTGTCAATGGATTTGATACTGTACCATTTTGACGAGTCTTATAATGTCAAAATGTATATGTAAATGAATATGTAGGATACTTTTGAAGCGAGTTTTGGGCTCAAGGAATACTTTTCATGATCAACGTATCTTGGTTTTACCATATTATAAATTTTCAGCTTGACATGATCATATTGCTCAAGAGATTCCAGCTTGACATGTAATATTGATTGAGAGATTCTGAGGTAGTCTGTTTGTATTGTAATGCAGCCTCCAAAGTTTGATGACAAAGAAGCTGCAGAACGAGTTGCAACACCTGGTGTGTCTGTTGGGCTTGTTTGGACTGCTTTTGGTGGAGAGGTCCAATTTGTGGAGGCTACAGCAATGGGGGGAAAGGGTGAATTACATCTCACTGGTCAACTTGGAGATGTTATCAAAGAATCAGCACAAATAGCATTGACATGGGTAATATCTGCCTTCTAATTAATTTTATTTATCTGAAGTATTACTATTAATGCCTGTTCTTCATCACGAGTCAAACATTTCTGCCCTGTAAAAGTTAAGGTTATGATTTATTGATACTGAGGATTTTACTTATGTCTCAGGTGAGAGCCAGGGCAAGGGATCTTAACTTGTCAACAACTGAGGCAGCCAATCTTTTGGAAGGTCGTGATGTTCACATACACTTTCCTGCTGGGGCTGTACCCAAGGATGGACCCTCAGCGGGTGTTACTCTGGTTACTGCACTGGTTTCCTTGTTCAGTCAGAGAAGAGTAAGAGCAGATACAGCAATGACTGGAGAAATGACATTGAGGGGTCTTGTACTACCTGTTGGTGGTGTCAAGGATAAGGTATGCTTGCTCACCTCATGGTACTAATCTAGTTATGATAATCCGTGACTCTTTAAGTAAGTCTGTCTGCATGTACAACACATGCTATATGAACTGAATGGTTTTGGGGTCTAGTCATATTCATGCTTTACTACAATTACTGCCCTGTCAGGTGTTTTGACTTGTATGCCTGTTGGGCATGTTGGCGTTATCATAAATGTGACCTTGTGTTTTTGTAGAGAAGTAGTATACTATCACCAAACTTGTTTGGCATACAGATTTTCACTTTTCTTAGTACCTGTCATTTTTAAATCTCCTGGCTATACGACTCAAGAGTCATTCCATTTAGTATCTTTTTCAATAACCGTCATCTAGCGAAGTGGGATGTTTGATGGAAAATTGATTGGTTTGTTTGTTGGAATATGCTCATTCTCATTTGTCTTTAATTGGGCTTCTTGATCGTCAATGTTTACACCATTTTTTAGAAAGGTTTTGAGAAACGTTTTAAGCATATTTCGAGAAACTTGTGACATTCCCAAAACACTTTTAGCACCTTTTTTCTTATATAATATTTAAAGGAACCTACAAACCACATGTGAGAAAAACAGCAGCAAAATTATCTGCTTGATTTTCTTGGTGCATATCAGTAATGAGCCAGAGGCTATGTTTGATCATCTGAATCTATGTTGTTGTAGGTATTGGCAGCCCACCGTTGTGGTATTAAAAGAGTCATTCTTCCGGAGAGGAATCTGAAGGACTTAACTGAAGTACCATCAGCGGTTCTTTCCGGTCTTGAGGTAATTTTGGTTTTATTTGGCGGCAAGCTGTTGCCTGTAGATACCGTGTTTGGTTTCCGAAGGGGTGATGTGTGATTATGGTCGCAACATAATTTGTGATATTTTCCCATAACAGATAATACTGGCAAAGCGAATGGAAGATGTGTTAGAGCAGGCTTTTGAAGGCGGATGCCCCTGGAGACAGCACTCAAAGTTATGACAGGGCCTTAATGGGTGATGTTATACTTTTCTTCTTTCTGGTGATCGAATCGCCTTAGCTGGTTGCCGCTTGCATCTTGTGTATGGTGGCGCTTCATTTCGAGCAGCAGCTGCCTTGCCTGCAAAGGGTGAACAAGTAGTGAATCACTATGCCCGGTCCTGGACGTGGAGTACGAGGAGTTAAACTGCTCGTAAAGAGACGCAATCACTAGTCATTCGATCCGTTTTGAGATTTTTAATCAACTTTTCCCTCGGTTCTTCTGTTCCATGCTATCAATCTGTCAATTGTTTTTATTTTCTAAATAATCTTTGTAATTATTAGATTAAATCTCTTTTATTTGTATAATATTAAGGAAAACTAATGAAAATGAGTTGAAAATTTTAAGTTTTAGTCAAAAGGTCAAAAATGTGTTGTAAGTGAATAGTATTGGAAGTAACTTTTTAAAGTAAAAATGTCATTTTCATTAAAAGTGAACAATACCGAAACTGTTTCGTGAAAACTCCCATAATATTATTGTTTAATTGAGCAAAGAAATACAGGCAAATTGACTTCCAAGGAATTACAAGAGAAAAAATATGTTTAATTGGGCACGTTTAAAATGCTTTTATATTGAATAAGTCTTTTTGGTGAAATTGATTTAAGGTTTTAAAGTGTTTTTTTTTTTTTTTTTGGGTGAAAAAACATCAGATATGTGTTTCTTACAAGCACTTAAAATATCTTTTCAGGATCTACTTGGATTTTTATTAAGGATTGGTTTTAAAATTATTTTCACCAAAATTCCTTTCGGAGGGACCTCGTAATAATCTCGGTCACCAAAACACAAATGAACCTCATTTGACAGAGCCTTGTTTGTACTATGGTACTTGATGGAACTGAGCTAGTCTTCAGCAGGCTACTGAATTACTCATGAGCATCATCTGTCACTGCTACCGAAATGTCCTTTCAAGAGCGGTGCAACGAAAAAAAGGAGAACAATATCTCGAGCTGAAACCAGATTAGGAGTTGAAGCCATACCTGCATCCATGAGTTCACTCGACTCGGACAATGATGCTGCTGAAGTTTGGGGTCACTCTGAAAGGGTAGACAACTGTAACCAGTAGCATCACTAAATTGTTAGACCCCAGAAACCATATAGCAACTGTATTTTCATTCATATTTTCCTCTTTCAGGGAGATAGTAGAAACAAGCAGGAAACAAGTAAAATGGTGAATTGAAAATACTTGAACCAAGAAAAAACAGCCTGCAGTACATAACCTAAACTACAAAAACTAGTCCTGCGGAAAACGATTAAAAATTACACATATGAGATATGAAAATTCCGAAGTCAGTTATGAAAACTCTTACTGTAGATGGAATAAAAGAAAGGCATACATTGAAAAGTTCTGCCACTCAAGGATTCTAATCCAAAGTCCCTCTAATCTTCTGCATCTGCTTTACTCCTCTTCTTTTTCTTCTTTTTCTCACTCTTATTAGCCTCGCCATCACCAGCGCCGGCAGAAGCCACAGCACCATTGTCCTCAGCGTCTTTGTTTTTCTTCTTCTTTTTCTTCTCTGACTTTTCTGTTTCAGGTGAACCAGCTTCAACGTTATCCACAGTGCCATTCTCTTTGTCCTTTTTCTTCTTTTTCTTTTCGGACTTCTCAATTTCAGGCCCTACTTCTTCGCCTTTGCTTTTCTTTACAGCAACTGGAACAGGGCTCTCTGTGGGTTCCTCTAGTTTGCGTTTACGCCCCTCCTTAGTTTCCTCTTCATCCTTATGTTTGTCCTTTTTCTTCTTCTTCTTCTTCTCCTTGTCTACGAGAGCGGTCTCCTTCTCTGCCACAGCAGGTTCAGTGTCAAGCGCAGCAGCAGTTCTTGCAACAATAGAATCCCCACCTGCAGACAAAACCACATTCCTCATCCATTCTTGCGGAGTATTCTCAATGGGCTTCCCATGCTTATCCAATTTCCCTTCGGCAATCAATTTCTTCTTCATAGACGCCCTTGGTCCCAATCCCCACTTCCTTGGGTAAGTATCCCGATCCATTACCACCCTCTTAATCTTTGCCACCACACCATGATCACAAGTTGCCATCACAGCAGTGGTCATCTCGGCAATTCCCAATGCAATGGCTTCTCCTTTGGTAGTCATCAGCACAACTTCCTCTCCAACCTCGATATCATTCTCAAACCTAAGCAGCCCTGGAATCATTAACTTGGCACCGTAGCAAATGGCATTCACTGCTGAGTCCTTGACAACCAATCTCTTATAACTGGTCAAGAGAACCTCAAGAGGCATGATGACCCTCCTCAAATAACTCTCATCCCTATTAGTGTCATAAGCCCACTGAGCATCCATGACATCATGCATTGTAACCATGTTGTCTTTCTCGCCCATAATCCCAGACCTGACCCTCCTAAGCTCCTGCATATGACCTCCCACACCAAGCAGCAGACCCAAATGCACACAGAGTGTCCGCACATAGGTTCCTGCTTCGCAAGAAATCCAGAAAACGACCAAATGTTTATCCGTATCAAACTCAAGAAGTTTGCTTTCATAGATGGTCCTAATCCTAAGCTGCCTCTTGACTGCTGATATCAAAGGTGGCCTCTGAAAGACAGCCCCAGTAAGAGATTCAAGGGCCCGAGCCACTTTGGCAACATCAGGCACAGCTGAATGCAAGCGGGCAACACAAACATACTCTTTCCCTGCACCCTGCTGGGACTTGACAAGTCGTGTGGCTCGGTCAATGCAGACAATGAGATTACCTGTAACCTTAGGATCCAGAGTACCGCTGTGGCCAGTTTTCTCAACGCGAAGGATGCGCTTAATCCAAGCAACTACCTCGTGTGAAGAGGGGTTTGCAGGCTTGTCAAGATTGAGAACACCGTATCGGATGTACTCGGCAAGAGGCCGCTTAAGTGGGGAGAACCCCGAGGGTAGAGGGGTGTAATGTCCAGTTCGAACATTGAGTCGGTCATAGTTTTTGAGAAGGATAGGCCACTGAGAGGTGTCCAAGGAGGGAGTTGAGCCCTGGGGCTTGATCATGAAGTCTTTGTCAAAATCGCTGTCTTTGTCCCTATGCTTCTTCTTCTTCTTCTTCTCTGAATCTGTCACTTTCTCCACAGCCTCAGTGGCCAATCGGTTATCATCAGATGAAACCATTTCCTGCACATTAGACAGAACAAAATATCGCTCATTTTCTTTAAGAAAAACCCCAACGAAACACAAACAGAAGGTACCGCCAACACCAAATTGAAGTTCGCTTCTGGGAAATTTTCTAGACAATACCTCATTATTACTTTGTCTTTTGTTTTGGTCATTCATTAATCATCACTCACAACAGATGTAGATTATATGCTCAGTGATAATACCTTTCCTATACACAGGATATACAAAACATACAGAAGTTATCGTTGCAGCGGCATGTTTTGGTAGCATATGAACGACCATATCTCCTACCCAGTAACTTCTAGACACACACATACATGAAACCAGACACAACGGTGATTAGGTTTCCAACTTGTTTATTTAAACCGATTACTGTTCGCATCAATCAAACCCTTTGATTTTTCCACAAATGAAAAACTATCGACATACGAAACACAAAGGAAATAACTTGAAAAGCTTCGGAATTTGTTGTACCAACACGTTAAACAAGCGCACAAATACAAGAAAATATAATTATCAAGCTCTGGAAGAAGTCGAGGAGATAAGGAGTACCTTCGATTTTTTATTCCAGCTGCTACCAAACCCTAGGGACTGAGACGGTTGAGAGAGAGAGAGAGAGAGAGAGAGAGAGAGAGAGAGAGGCCACCCCGTCCGCGGTTCTCACTCACTCTTCGCTTTGCTTCTAAAACCCTGATCAGGGGTGTAAAAGCGCCTTTTGATGACTAAAAGGACAATCTTGTCAACGGGCGGTAAGTGCTCTACGCGATACACATGAGGGTAAAGTGGATATTTCATTTCTGATTTAATTAAATTCGTTACTTAAATTACTTAAGTCTAAAATTGGAAAAAAAAAATTTTAAATGCACTATTCATCTTGACTGTGAATTGGGGCTTCATTTTGACTTACTCACCATTTTGTCGTAGGCTTTTTGGTTTTGGGCCTTTCTTCACAAAAAAAACAAAGTGTTTGGGCTGGTGCATTTTGGGCCCGAAGTGGGCTGTCAAGTGGGTGGGGAAATTATCCTTTTGCCTACTTCAATCCAGATCAATCGGACATGATTTGGGGGCAGTTCGATTGTAACGACTCGTCCTTAATTATACAAATTTTCGGAACGTCGAGGGTAAATTGGTAATTTCACGTTAGGAGATATTTTCATTTTTGTCTTTTATGGGCTGGTTTTGTGTGCCATATGGGACCCACATCCCACTTAACCTCTCATCCCCTCCTCGTGTCCTTCCCCCCTCCCCCCCTCGCCCAAACTCTCGACACTCTCTTCTTTTTCTTTTCCCCCTCACTCTCTCAAACTCCTCCTCCTTCTTTGTCAAGCCGAGGCCCAAGACCCCCAACTTGCCATACTTTTTAGCATGCATCACCAACCACCACCATCTGTGGGCCTTCTCTCTCTCTCTCTCTCTCTATCTCTCTCTCTCTCCTTCCCTTTTGCGACTCTCCTTCTTAAGCCTCATTGTCCCTCTCTCCTTCTTTATGAAGCACAGGGACACCAAGCCTAGCACACCCCCCTCACCGGCTAGTTCCACCATCTCCAACTAGAAATTGCGAGAGTGACAAACCAAGTTTTCCGACGACCTTCGAGCGGTTTTCGGTCAACTTCGGCCACAGAACACCAGTGGTATATTTCTATTCCTCACCTCCGTAGCTTCAAATCCATATATAGGATGTTGGTTAGGGTTGCAATATGGAGCTAATTGAATTCTGTTTTGTTTTCCGGCCATTTTTTGCAGAAACTGACCCACTCAAGGCCTAAAATCGGGTCAATCTAACTTGCAACCCAAAACAAGATCTGACCCTATGAGCCAACCCGGATGGAATATTCTCCAGAATATTCTTTAGAATATCTTTAGAATTTCGACACCTTGAGTCCGTTTTTAGTATTTGTTTAGTGAAATTTTGAATTTTTAACGTAGTTGGCCGACTCGACGTCTCAGTTGACTTTTTGGGTTGATCGTTGACTTATCATGAAATTTGCCTGGGACACCTCTTAGCCTAATTCCACGCCCTGATTCCAAATTTGGGCTTCGTTTTCCCAAATTCAATCATTTTAGTAGGGTTTTACTAATTGGTCCCTTTATGTACTTAGATGCGTTTGTTAGTGGCGATCTTGTCCTCTCTAATTTGTATGGCTCCTCGGGGACGGAGTATCTGTGAGTGGACACCTTCTTAAATTGCATGATTTTTATTAAATACTAGACTTGCATTCATGAAAAGCATGATTTCATGATTTCTTGTTTTACGCATTATTTATGATGTATCGAACTTATGTTTTATAAAAGGTTTACAAGCTATTGCTTTTATGCCCTATGATATATGATGGATTTAAGGATATGAATTTATGGTTTCACATGATTGATTTATTATAGTTTATGATAATGATTTGAGCTAGAATGCTCCTATGGATTTATGATATGATGCTTGAGCTTTTGAGCTCCGATGCTATGATTTGGAAAGATTATGTTTATGTTTTCGATGCTTACTTAGTGGGTAATCATACAACAGATATACACAACACGAGTATGTATTTGTCTATGGCCATAAGACACAATTGGATGAATAATGAGATATTTACGACATACTCCTAGCTTTACTAGCAAAACCAGTGTCAGACAACTTCACTAGCCACAGCTAGTGTCAGTGTATTATGTATATATCTTCTCTAGTGTAACCCATAGTCGTACAACTTCATCTTTGGGTGATGGGACCTACCATGTTTCTTTAATGACATAACTCAGTGTTGTACAGCTTCATCCTCGAGTGATGGTTATGCTTTCGGGAGACTATGATTGACACACCCCAACTAAAAACAGGGCGTGCTGGCCGTCACGTGAAGGTGACATAGCCATGTGCATGGTGCAGAAGCAATATTAATATAAGAAATGCGTATAAATAAAAACCAAACTAACTAGAGCACTAAATAAGATAAGGTGCAAGACGAAATAAGTGTCACAACCAGAGCATAAGTAGCCTAAGTGCAGTCTAGCAGGGCGAATACTAATTACACAACACCAAAGGTAAACCTACAATGGTGATAATCTGTCAAAGTTGCCGTGGATTCCTCGCAAGCCACCAAAAAGCACTCTTAACTAGAACCTGGAGGAGCGCAAAACAGAAAGTGTAAGTGGGCAAAAACAAAGCTTTTCAAAACCATTTCGTTTATCAAAGATTGTAACCCCTCGCCATAAAACCTGTATAATTTTCCAGAAAATAGAACACATATTTATACCACAACCATGCTCAGAATAGCAAAATTCATAAATATGCCATGTCGAATATCTTAGCAATAAAATATGTAAGCCAGGTGATATAAATCAATGCAAATGATATGTCAGCCGGAGTCACCTAGCATGACCTGTATGGTTGAATCTAGAGCTCATCCATCTAGCCAGAGTCACCTAACATGACCTGTACGGCTCAAATCCACATCTCAACAAATATACCTGCACACGAGTCGGAACCACTTAAAGTGGTATGTACGATAGGACTATGCACCTTACTTGGATCCAAGGTGAGCGTATGGTGCGGGAGGTGAACATCACATGAAGGACTGTGCCCTAACTCTGGGTGAGAGCACTAACACTGGGGTGCAGGCTTATGAGCTCTCAACACATCTCACATAATCATGAAGTAACATAAACAATCTACAACTCACCTGGTACTTACCTGAGCATCCACCGCGTCAAATTACAACATGCACACTATATTAATTCAATGATCTACATATAAATCCATATGAATGGCATTTCTAAACATAATTTCATTTAAATCAATTTTATGGGAAAAATCTCAAGTATATAGGTATATACGGAAAACCAAAACCCACTCACTGATATGTGGAAGGGTCGTAGCCCCCAAGCCTCGATTGACTGCGCTTGTCTTGATGATAGGTCTCACCTATATGCGAAACAACTATATAAACGTTAATTTAAAGCACATAAACGAAACTAGCTAATAACTTCTCATACATTGCTCAAATGGGGTGTTTGAATATACCAACGTGATCTACTCAACACCAAAAACATCCCCATATTTTTAAAATAATTTTTGGACCACCCACGCGCCGGCAAGGGCACAGCCAGACGCGCCCCCACTCTCGGCCAACCTGACGGAAACTTAACTGCCGTTAGGAATATTTCGTGGAATATTTCGCTAAACATACCTGACACCTTTTAATCGCCGTTAGGAATATTCCGTTAAAGTTGACGGAATATTCTCCTTTCTTCTCCTGTGGATTGTCGGACCCTGCCGCCGGGCGCCATCTGTATCACCAGAAACTGGAAAATTTTCAAAGCTTGATATCTCCGCCATTTCTCAACCAAATTTCATAAAATTTGTCTCAAATTGAAGCTCTAAACGAGTAGAAAACGTTCTTACCTTTCAAAGGTCCTAAAACCAACGGAAAAATGGCTGAACAAATCCTTGAAAACCGGCTAATCCTGCAAACCCATAACCAAGCTCATTTCGACGTCCAAACTTAACCAAAACTAACCTAACATGCTAGAGAAAACTAATGATTACCTTTGTAAGTCTTAAAATCTGGTATAACCTCGACGATCATGTCGGAGCGAAATCGACTCCTCGCCGGAGTTCAAAGTTCTGGGGTTCTCGAGGTCCTTACTTCGCGTAACTGGTATGTACAAGTTCATGAGACCACGAGGGAAGTGATGGTACCTTCCAAACACTCGATCCGTGAGAGTAACGTAGGTTTGGAGGTTGGTCAACCAGTGTACGAATGGAGCGAATTCGAGAGAAAGAGAGAGAAAGATGCGGGTTGCACGTGTATGCGAGTGTGTGTATGTGTGTTCTAATTAGGCACCTAAAAACCACCCTAAGCTCTAATTGGGCTGCATGCCAAATCCATACAAAACAATACCAATTTCTAATTGGGTCCAACAAGGTAGGATATGAAATAATTGGTCCCATTCCTTAGCCCAATAACACACATCACACAACGTTCAAGGGCAAAATAGACATTTCACACTGCCGATAAAAAAATAATTCGGGACGGGCTGTCACAATGATACCCCTAGTTAAGTACATTGTTTTATGATTTACGAATTATTATTATTATTATTATTATTAATTAATTAATTACTAGCATATGGGCACACACAAAGTGTGTGAGAAAACTTTTTATTGGGAAGTTTTTTTTATTTTTTATTTATTTTTAATTAGAGATATGTTAGGATTATATGTAGGTGAGGTTTTGAAAAAAAAAAACAGCAAAATTTGGTTGTATGAAATTACATTTCTGCCCCATATTTCTTATCCATGTTTTGTTTTAATTAGAGGGTTAAACTGGTAATTTCATAGGGTTTTGGTTGACAGTGAGTGTTTTTTTAATTAGTAGAGATTATCTCATTGTTATATAATATTCATTTCGTAGAATTCTTGATTAGTTGTATGCTCTGAACATATTCTCGCATTTGCATATTTCATTATATTTTAAATTTACATATTTTATTTACGTTCGTCCTTTCTTCATAACTTATATGCATATTAAAATGGCTTCGTCACCCTGGTGTTTGGAGGATATCGGGATCGGAGCGTGTCAGTTCGGTCATTTTCCACTTGGGGGGGTTTTTGGTGTCGGTAGGGGCTGAACGAACTGGGGGAGAAAAAGAGAGGGGTTGGTTGCAGAGAGAGGGTATGATGTGAGGGCTTCACAACATGATTTGAAAGAGAGAAAGAGAAAGG